TGCGCATTGTCGACAAGGAGCGCTACGCTCAGGCCAAGTTTGAACGTCTCCAACAAGGTTCCCAGAGCGTCCGCAACTATGTGGCCGCCTTTGAGCGTCTCGAGCTCGAGGTGAACTACAACGACAACGCGCTCAAGCAGGCCTTCTGTCGCGGGCTGGACCCGGCCCTTCGCAAGAAGATAGACGACATGCCGAACCGCCCATGGACGGTTGACGAGTGGAAGGAGACGGCGCTCGACAAGGACGAGGCCATGCGGGCGGAACGCGAAGAGGAGAAGGCCTGGCTCGGCAACTCCTTCCACAAGTCGGCCGCGCCCCAAGCACCCAAGAAGGACGCGGCGCCTGCTATCCCTGCGCAGCCGGTCGTCCGGGTCCAGGCGTACACAAAGCTCACCGAGGCGGAGAAGGACCGCCTCATCGCGTCCAACGGGTGCTTCTACTGCCGGCAGGACGGCCATATGGTGGAGAACTGCCCCAACCGGAAGAAGAGGTCGGAGAAGGGAGACTCGGACGAGTTGCTCGCGCGGCTGCTTGCGCTGGGAGCGGAGGAGAAGGCGAAGCTCAAGGAGAGCTTGAAGGATTTTTAGATCGCCCTGTCGCCGCGTCGTCGCGCAGGGCCAGTATGTCCCGGACCCCATTGTGTACCACCACCTGTGAGCGCTCGTACCCCGAATGCATATATATTTCGGCTGTCAAAAACACACAGACACCGTCTATCGTATTCAGCGCTCAGCTCGTGGGACCAACTACCGGACATAAAATCGACGCCTCCGCTCTCCAAGATAGTGGAGCTGAAGGAATCCTATTGAATTACCGCTTTGCTCGCCAGCATAACCTCCCCCGCACTCGCCTCCAACGTCCCATCCCTGTCCGTAACGTTGACGGATCTGACAACGGTATGGGGCCCATTTGCTATACTGTCACACACAAACTACGCCTGCCCTCACAGGATGGCGTATCCTATCATGAGGAGCTTATCGAGTTCTTCGTTGCGGACATCGGGGACCACGATCTCATCCTCGGTACGGACTGGCTTCACATGCACAACCCAGAGGTCGATTGGTCTAAGTCGCGCGTTGACATGACCCGTTGCCCTCCGGACTGCACACTTGTCAACCCTCCTGTTACCCACCTTCGCACACTCCGCCCGCCATCATCAGGACGGCCTGTCTCTATCGAAGAGGTTGACGATGACGAGGACATCCACCTTCGTGCATGGCAGCGGGCTTCAGCATTACCCGTCGACTCCCCTCTTCTCATCGATACTGGCGACGATGCGCCTGAACTCCTTTCCATTCCGGTGGCGCGCAGAAACCCTGTCACAATAGAAACGGCTCCGGATGCCGAGGACATACGCCTTCGCCTACAGCTGCGCGCTCGTTCCCTGGATACAACGCTGGAGGAACTGCCTACCACCGATGAGACAGCAGCCGCGCCATCTACACCCATAGCGTCATTTCAGCTGGACCAGAACTATGAAGATGAGTTGGAGGACGTTGCCTCTATCCCCGTATCGGTTGATTGGGTACTCAGAGGCCTACAGCTTGCGCGGATCGTCCCCGACATTGAGCACTGCACGTTTGAGCCGGGCGATACCATCCTGTTCACGACAGACTACACTGAGGACACCGAAGACAACGACGATCCGACCGTTTACATCCGCGCAGGCTTCACACGGTCACAGGAGCTGGCGGAAGAGCATGCGGCACAGGCCCCAGCTAAGTCCTTTGAAGAACTTGTCCCAGAACAATACCGACCATGGATTAAGGTGTTCGACAAGAAGGTCTCAGAGCGCCTACCAGAGCACGGCAAACACGACCACACCATCGACCTCAAGCCGGAGTTTGAGAAACGCTTAGAGACCCACCCCATCAATGCCAAGCTCTACCCCCAGCCCGGCAACGAAAAGGCGGCCATGGAGGCATTCATCAAGGAGCATCGGGATCGTGGCACCATTCGCCCCTCAAAATCACCAATGGCAAGTCCGTTCTTCTTCGTCAAAAAGAAAGACGGCACTCTGCGCCCCGTACAGGACTATCGTATCCTCAACTCGGGTACCATCAAGAACACGTATCCGCTCCCGCTCATCGGAGATATTGTCGACCGTCTCACAGGCGCCAAGGTCTTCTCTAAGATGGACGTCCGGTGGGGCTACAACAATATTCGGATCAAGGAGGGCGACGAATGGAAGGCCGCGTTCAAGACAAGCTTAGGACTATTTGAACCCCTGGTGATGTTCTTCGGCTTGACGAATTCGCCCGCCACTTTTCAGACTATGATGAATGAGGTTTTCAGGGACATGATTGACGAGGGTGTCATCAGTATCTACATGGACGACATCCTGGTGCACACAAAGGACATCACCCAACATCGGGACGTAGTGCGACGCGTACTCCAGCGGCTGGACGAAAACGACTTGTACCTGAAGCCCGAGAAGTGCCAGTTCGAACAGGACCAGGTCGAGTTCTTGGGCCTCGTCGTTTCGCACAACCACCTCGCCATGGATCCAGTCAAGGTCGCTGGCGTAATGGACTGGCCACGACCGCGCAATGTTAAGGAGGTCCAGTCATTCATCGGATTTGCCAACTTCTACCGCCGCTTCATCACCGACTTCTCGTTCATCGCGCGCCCACTCTTCGAGTTGACCAAGAAGACAGTCACCTGGCGCTGGGGAGATGCAGAGCAAGAGGCCTTTGATCAGATGAAACAAGCATTTACGTCGTCTCCTGTCCTCCTCATGCCAGACCCTACTAAGCCATACCGGGTAGAATGTGACGCGTCAGACTTTGCCATTGGCGCTGTCCTGTCACAATGCGGTGAAGACAACGACTGGCACCCGGTGGCGTATCTGTCCCATGCTCTCACCGCTCCAGAACGCAACTACGACACTCACGACAAGGAACTACTGGCCATCATCCGCGCGCTCGAGGATTGGCGTCACTACCTTGAAGGTTCTCCTCACCAAGTTGAGATCTTCACCGACCACAAGAACCTCGAGTACTTCACCACGGCACAGAAGTTGAACAGACACCAGGCTCGCTGGGCCCTATACCTCTCGCGTTTCGACTTCATCCTTCGCCATCGCCCTGGCCGATACAACCATGCTGACCCCATGTCCCGTCGTCCTGATCATCGACTCGGCGTCTCCGAGGACAACTCCAACCGCATCCTGTTCCTGGCGGCCGAGGTAACCATCAACGCTGCTCAGTTGGTATCCCTGGACGACGTCAGGCAACGGATCCTGGATACAGACACGAAGGACCAAGAAGTGACAGAGGCCCTACGCATCATTGACGAGGAGGGGCCGGCTGCACTGAAGCGCAAGCTCGTCGGTTGGGAGCAGAAGGACGGTCTTCTCACATACAATGGCCGCCTCTACATCCCTGAAGATCAGGACCTGCGGCGGGACATTGTGCGCCTTTGCCACGATACACCAGCTGCGGGCCACCCTGGACGCATGCGTACGATGGAGCTCGTGCAACGGGACTTCTGGTGGCCTGGTATGTCTGTTTTCATCCGCGAATACATCCGAGGCTGTGCCACCTGTCAGCGCATGAAGATTCGCAACCACCCGCCGGAGATACCGCTACATCCAAACGAGATCCCCACTCGTCCCTTCCAGATCATGACGACCGACTTCATCACCGACCTTCCACCCTGTCAAGGCTTCGACTCAATTGCCGTATACGTGGACCGCGGATACAAGATGGTTTATATCGCTCCAACGACCAAGACAGTGGACAGCTTGGGATCCGCATCCCTGTTCATGCGCTACGTCTTCCCTCATACTGGCCTTATGGAGCAACTTATCTCTGATCGCGGTAGCCAGTTTGCCAGTGATACCACTCGGACACTGCTCACTAAGCTCGGCGTCAAATCCTCGCTCAGCACCTCGTATCATCCACAGACGGATGGCCAGACGGAACGTTTCAACCAAGAGCTGGAGCAATACCTGCGCGCCTTCTGCAATTTCCGTCAGGACGATTGGGTGGACTGGCTTCCGCTGGCCCAGTTCGCACACAACTCTCAAGTCCAAGCGTCCACCGGCAAATCACCGTTTGAGCTCCTTTACGGCTTCACGCCACGCGCCTACCCCCAACTCGCCCCTACCGCACGCTTCCCTTACTTACGAGAGCGGCTGCGCCACCTTGAGTCTGTGCGCGAAGAAGCTCAGGCCAGCCTTCGGATCGCGGCGGAACTCATGAAGGACCGTCACGGCGTGCCAGAAGCGACTTACAAACCGTTCAAGATTGGCGACAAGGTCTGGCTCGAGGGCAAGAACCTCAAGTCTGTACGGCCGAAGGCCAAACTAGACGCCAAACGACATGGGCCATTCGCTGTCACGGAGGTCCTTGGGGATCCTGAGACGGCCATTAATTTCCGTCTGGACATCCCCAAGACTTGGAAGCGCATCCATCCGGTCTTCCACGCTCAACTCCTCACTCCATACGTGGAGACGCCCGAGCACGGCCCTAACTACACGGAAGAGCCGCCTGAACTGGTCAACGATGAGGAGGAGTACGTGGTGGAGGCCATTCTGAACGGCCAAGAGACCAGGAATAAGCGCGGATTCGAGTACCTCGTCAAATGGGAGGGCTACCCGGACACTGCAAACCTGTGGCGCCCGGCGTCTGCCCTCAAGAATGCCAAGGATGCTATAGATGAGTACCACAAACGTCATCCTCGAGCACCACGCCCAAAGAATTACCAGGGACCATAAACGACATGCTCCGGGCGTAAGCATGTCTTAGA